ATAAACGCCCCGAGAGAGGCGTGCAAGAAACTCTGCTGCTCCAATTGTGTTCCCATAACATGATACGTTAACTCGCCGGTGAAGAACGGCCATAGACCAGCAGACTGCGCCACAAGTTCAAACTCGAAGCTAGAAGAGTAAAAATCAACTCTGTTAAAAGGTATAGTAGTCTTGATCTGCTTTCTGTTAAGTAAGTTTGGTGGTTGAAAAATAATGCCCTGTTGTTGAGGTTGTTGGTGTTGCTGCTGCTGTTGAAATTGCAGTGGATGCTGCTGTTGTTGCTGCTGTTGCTGATGTTGCTGTTGCTGTTGCTGTTGTTGTTGGTGAACGCCCGAAGATGTAAAAGAGCTGCTGCTGCTGCGACTGCGGCTGCTGCGTAAAAGGTGAGAAGGCGAATGAGCCGGTACTTGGAGCTGAAGCTCCACGCATGTAACTTGAGCCATCAAGACTCATTCCACTAAACGCTGACGATATTGACTGCGTTGAAAACTGCTGCGCTGTCAGTAACAGCAAAATCCGCTTTCTGTCTGCGCTGACAAAACTGACAGAAGGCGGATTTTGCTGCTGCTGCTGCATACCGATGTGCGCATAAGCCGGTGGAAACGGTCCAGAGGCTGAGAGACCAGTGGCGGTCGTGGAGACAGGTACTCCAGTAGTTCTGGAACTAGATCCGGTAGATGGTGCTGGTGATGTTCCAGTCATTGTTGACAGTAGTCTGAATTCCAGATAGCTCTCATACCATGTAATAATTTGATAGGTGTTGCAGGAGACTAAGTAAAGAATCTGCGAACACGAATACTTGGAAAACCTCAAGTGTTAGCCTAGGATCTTTACTGGAATGGTAGACTAGTTAGACAGCGGAAGTCTTGTAAGAATGAACCTGAGTATATAATTCTGTGGAAGTCAAGGTTAACAATAGAAAGGCATAACACGCAGCTCAGGGCGGCACTACTAGTCCAACCTCTGAGGCAGGCGTCCGAAGACCAGTCAGCAAGAGTACAAATGGAACAAGAACACACCAAGGTGGCACTACTAGTCCAGCCACTGAAAGAAAGGCCACAAGGCCAATCTGGGAGGTAAATATAAAGAGGAATACACAAATAGACCAAGCTGCAAATAGTGTCGCTGATAATCTTTAGGCGCAAGCGCCTTAGAAAAGATATGTGCCTTCAAGTCGAGGCTCCTGACGCAGGAGGATCATGGCCCTCGTGTCAGCGTACAGGACCGGGGCAGAGCTAGGCCGCTCACCTAAGTCTATGAGCAAGAACATCAGCCAGCAGAGCTCCTATGCTGCCATAGCACAGACGTAGATCCCAGCCTCACAGCTAGACTAGGCAACAGACGAGGAGCGAGTGGACCTCCACGACGCCCCCAACGCTGGCGCTGCTGCGGGAGCACCGCAGCTGCGGTCTCAACGGCAGGAGCAGCCATAGTGACTGCTGCGGAAACGCCAGCGTAGGTGCATTGGGAGGGAGCACACCCCTGAAAGATAGGGACCGCCGCAACACCGCTCGACTGAGCGATAGTTCGCTGGCGAGTCTCTATCTCAGACAGGGCAGTGACAAAGGCGGTTAGTGTGAGGTCTCAAGGGTGCTGGCTAAGGAAGTGGTTGCGGGCTGTGGATAAGCGGTCAGGCAGGCGCATGGCAATGAGATACAGGGTAGTGCAGAATGGTGGGGGGAAGGCACTGAGCTGAGCGACACTGCTAGCAGCGCGATAACTAGTCTCTAGTGGACGGAGGTGAGCGGCAAGGTCAACGACAGTGGGGAAAGCGGAAAGATTCAGGAATAGCATAGGGAGGATCAAGCGGCCAGCGGAGGCGGAAGCAGGAGTGGAGTAGCGCGCAATTACTGCATCTAGGAAGTCTTTGGCGTTTGCGACAACAGTGAAGCGCGGATGCTCAGACAGAGGAAGCGCATGATTAATGGCGAGCTGTGGTACAGCATCGCGAGAATCCCAGACAGTGGGAGCGAGCCCTGGAGCAGCAAAGGCCTCACTCTTAGCAGCGGTGGGGTCAGCAGGGAGGGGATCAGGCGTAGAGGGGCAGGGAAGCAAGCCATCGACATGCCTAGCCATGGAGTGCCCATCCTGGCGCTGACCTGAAAGGTGCCGATGGAGATCGACCAGCCAGGCAGCGAAGTCGATCGCGTGCCCCTCCGCGTCCAGGCAAAGTACAGCGTCTGCCATGGCGCAGCCTCAGCAGCACAGGTCCACAACGGCACAGCGTCACGGCGGCACAGCGTCACGGTGGCACAGCGTCACGGCGACACAGTATCACAGCGGCACAGCTGCAGGGCCCTTCGGCTGGAAAACCGGGCAGGAGGCCGAGGAGGGCCCGAGGCCCCAGGATCCGGGATGTACAGAGCCGGCAGGGCGCGAAGGGACGGCGGAGCGCTGGGGCCAGGAGGGCGCGCGAGGAGCCGAGGAGGTGCAGGAGGGGCCGGGGAGCGTGAAGGCCGGCTGGGCGCGCGAGGGCCCGGCGAGAACATGAGGGGCCAGCTAGGCACACGAGGGGCCGGCTAGGTGAGATGGGCCGGCTAGGCCGAGTGCCGCCTAGGTGCAAGGGGCTGGCTGGGCGTGAGGGGCCGGCAAGGCGCCAAGGGCCAGCTAGGCGCGAGGGGCCGGCTAGGTAAAAAGGGGCCGGCTAGGCGCAAGGGGCTGGCTAGGTGAGAGGGGCCGGCTAGCCGCGAGGGGCCGGCTAGGTGAGAGGGGCCGGCTAGGCGCGAGGGACCGGGTAGGTGAGAGGGGCCGGCTAGGCGTGAGGTGCTGGCTAGGTGAGAGGGGCCGGCTAGGCGCGGGGGGCCGGCTAAGCGCGAGGGGTTGGGTACGGCACGAGGGATCGGCTAGGCGGGAGGGGCCGGCTAGGCGCGAGGGGCCGACGAGACGCGAGGGGCCAGCTAGGTGAGAGGGGCCAACAAGAAGCGAGGGGCCGGCTGGGTGAGAGGGGCCGGCTAGGCGCGAGGGGCCGGTACGGCGCGAGAGGGGCTGGCTGGGCGCGAGGGGCCGACGGGCACGCGAGGGGCCGGCTACGGAGCGTGGGGGGGACGGCTGGGCGCGAGGGGATGATGGGACGCGAGGGGCGGACTAGGCGCGATGGGCCGACTACGGCGCGCGAGGGGACGGCTAGGTGCGAGGGGCCGGCTAGGCGCGAGGGGACAGCGGGAACGCTAGGGGCCGTCGAGACGCGATAGGCTAGGGCGATGGGCGAAGCGGGTGGGCGGACCTAACCTACTCATGATACCATGTTAGAATACTAGAATGATTAGGAAGAAGAGAGTACAGGAAAGATATAGGGTTGGAGATGTACTCTCTAAGAACACAGGCCTATCTAGCCTATAACTTCTAGATATATGCATGTGTATAAGTTGACACCATTGTCTGGACAAAATTCCGAGTGTCCCTTTTTCAGGGGGGTAATCATGCCGAGAGAATACGGTATTATGCTTTATTCTACAATGGACAACATTGCCGATCTTGTGAGGCCAAAGAGTGCCACTTGGGAAGTAACAAACTTGTATGCACACAACATGTTTTGAGCGAGGAAGCTTTATGGAGCAACATTCATTCCTCGTTCCTTTTGTAAAAACAAAGGTCAAGATTGATTTCTGGACTCAACCAGATGGAGCAGTGCTCCTTTTATGCATCCAACAAACTCCACAAACATTAAAGCTATGAGCTTCTGGTTGGGCCTTCATTTGTATCATCTGTTTCTTGTATATGCAACATCAACAGAAGCCAAACTTCTCATAATGATGAAATTCTTGAATGTATCGAGTTCGTGCTTCTGGGATGAAGCATTGACTTCCGTGACCACAAAAAAGCCCCAGATAGAGAATTGACAATGCGAGACTGAGACAGAGGAGTATGGCACCTGTTTTCAGGAGATCAGCATATGCCGCGGTCATTTGCACACAACCTTTCCCCCTTCACTCGATTTCGTTTCCCTCCTGACCGTGATTGCTCATGACCGCCGCATCTCTTCTCTCATCCTTCCTGAACCTACCCCCAAAAGCTGCAAGGACGTGGTACAATCGACGATGTACCGGTCGAACCTGTATGAACACCCATAAATTTTAAGCGAAATTTCTCATGCCGAATAACGAGCGTTTATGATAATACAGTTTCATCAGCATTAAAAGTTTTGTTCTACAGTTCACGAAGTCCTTCCCAGGGCAACTCTCCCTCCGCCGCGGTCATCGGTGGTCAAAGGGTGTTACAAACAAACTCCCCCTTCACCAACCTGATTCTGACAGCACAGCAATTCGGACCATGATTCTGAGGTCCAGTGAATTGCCCATCCATTAGATGCCAATGTCCATATACAGGCCCACTAGTCGTAACGCACGGAAAGCGGCCAAATCGACACAGTTACACACCAAAGATCTGTAACAGTTACCACATCTGATACGGAGACCTCCAAATGTGCAGACGGGACGTTCTCAAACCTTGCACTGTTGCCCTAGGAACGCAAAACAAACAAAAATGGTCACCCGATTTAGACTGGAAAATGCCAACGAGGTAACCAGACTACCCTTCATTGGCCCAATTCGCCCGTGAAAGTTCTGTGCCCGACTTTGGAGCACCCGCCTGAAAAAACACTGGGCCTGAAAAGGACTTCATGTGTAAAGGCCCCTGCAGCAACTAGGCAGGGAGGAATTTGGAACCCTGAAATGATTGTTTTCAGGGGATTCGCATTTCGCGCGCTCGTTGGTCTCTCCTACCCCCCTTCACTCAGTTTCGTTACCCTTCCTGACAGTACAGTACCCAACACCCCTCGTCTCTCTGTCCTTCCCGAAACTCAACCATGGGAGTTGGTAGGACGTAGCAGTGATACATCTGACAAAGCACCCGCATACTGCCTTTTTGCCTGGCAGGGGCCCCCTATTTTTGCCTGGCACGAGTCGTGCGTCAGAGGAGCCCATCAATGTAGCAACTTACAGGCAACGAAATTCACCTGCGATTATTACGCTCAGGTAAAACCATTCCCAGTGCTCCGCCGCCTGCTCCGCCGCGGTCATCGGAGGTCATAGTTTCGTCTGCGCCTCGCACGCAACCTCCTCCCCCTCAGGTTCGCAAACAAGGCAACCTTCCCTGAGGAAATTGTTTTTGGTGCGCCTTGCCATACGCACTCGCGGCGAGCCGTTTTCTCATCCAGCAGTTTACTCTCGTACATATTGCAAGCTAGGTCATTTGGCATTTTAATCACGCATTGGACGGTGAAGAGACTTGTCCGACTCGGAAAACGCCAACTCCAGTGAATTTGACAAGGGTCCGGGAACGCCATCGACGGTCGGATCACCAGGCTAGTCAGAGCTGACTATGTCGCCCCATGGACGGCCGCTCAGTTCGTTAACAGCAGTGTCGTCTTCCCCAGGCTGGCTGCTTCTCGCGCTTCTGCTGTCTTCATTCCTCACGGCAGCGCTCTCCATACCAGATGAAGAGGTATCACGCGCAGCCCCAACTCCCTTCCGCTGCCCATCCCCAACGTCTCCTGTGCTTCCCCTCACTATTCCCTTCATTCCGTCCCCCAACTCCATTCCTCCTCCCCCTCACAGTTCCCGTACCCACTCTTTCTCCTCTCTTGCCCCACTCTACCCCCTCTCCTCAAAAGGTGTGGGCGCAGGAGCCTTTTTCTGGTGGCCCACTCAATGCCGAGGTTTGCTGTAGAGACACTCGTGTGTGTACGAGTGCGATGGCTCGTATGACTGCCCATTTATGAAGGACCCTGTAACGAATCAGACCCTGCCTTATAGCGAGGACGAGATTCCTGAGGTGTGCAAGACTAAGGAGAACTTGTACTTCAAATGCCAGCGGCAACACAAAGTGATTGTTCCTGGGTTCGAAGAGGAGGGAGGCGTGTGGGTCGACGCGTACATTCAAGAATGGGAGGTCTGCGACGGGAAGAATGATTGCCCTTTAGGGGAGGACGAAGGAGGCACCGCCACGTACAGTGATGATGAGGACCCTGCTATGTGTGCGACCTACGAGTGCGTGCCTTTCTATTGGAAGTGTACTGGAGGTACAGTGTGCGTTGACAGGAGCTTACTTTGCGATGGCAAGAATGACTGCCCGGTAACCGGTGCTACTGATGGTCCAGCTGGTGCAACGCTTGGCACAATCAATGCGACTGATGCTGCTGCAGAAGGCGCTGCAAGGACTACCACTGCTGGTTCATCCGCCCATGGCAGTTCGCGCACCCTCTTGACATACGCAGCTGATGAGGATCCTTCCTTCTGCCGCTCAGAACCCTGTCCCTGGTCCAAGTACAGCAGGATGAAGTGCCCCTCCACCGGTCAGTGCCTTGCTCTCGAAAAATGGTGTGACGGGGTCAACGGCGATTGCATTGATTACAGCAGCTTCAGTTACGGAAACAGCAGTGCTTCTAACAGAGCTGCTTATAGTGAAGACGAGGATCCGGAGGTGTGCCGGGCGTTTGACTGCGCATCTGCATTTAAGAAGTGTCCCAGCGGTGTGCAGTGCTTGGAACTTTCGCGGTTTTGTGACGGCACCGTTGACTGCCAGGTCGGTGCGGAGCCATCATCATCAAATGTCGCCACCACGTCAGCTGGTGGGGCTAGTGCAGCGGGAGGCAGCAGCCGCAGCAGCAGCAAGCAGTGGTTGCATGAGGAGGAGTATGGTTTTTGTGAGAGTTGGGAATGCCGTCTCTATTGGAACGACAGACATGAATGTGACCACAACCCATACTGTGTCAACACGACCTTGGGTACAGACTTGGTGCAGCGCACATGCACGGGTAAGTGAAGGTCTTTCCCCGTTCCTCTCTCCCAGCCCTGAATCAACCTTGATGCTTCTCTGTTAACTGAGGTTTCTTTGTCTACTTTGTCCCACAAGGTTTCTCGTGTTTTCATCAAGCCCTCCACATGCCCCAAGCCTGGCTTCTTTCCCCGTTAGTTGATGTAGGTTGATTCCTATCTCAGACTCCCTTTATCAAACTTGGTCGTCTTGTTTGCCTTGGTTCCAGCACTCGATGAATGGGCGAAGATCCAGAAAGATGCCGCTGATGCTGCTGCTGCAGCCGCTGCTGCCGCTGATGCTGATAATGATGAGAAGAAAACATACAATTCCGCTGGAACAAGTGGTGACTCCACTGCGTCCAGTAGTAACTCTGATGCAGCAAGTGATGACTCCACTGCTGCCAGTAGTAACCCTGTTGCAGCTAGTGATGACTCCACTGCTGCCAGTGGTAACCCTATTGCAGTTAGTGGTGGCTCCACCGCTAAGGAAGAGGTGGAAAAGGAGGCAGCAGAGAATAAGCGGAAGCAAGAGGCCAAAACAGAGGCAGCAGAGAAGAAAAAGCAGAAGGAAGAGGCAAAAAAGGTGGCATCAGAGAAGAAAAGGCAGAAGGAAGAGGTGAAGAAGGTGGCAGCAGAGAAGAAAAGGCTGAAGGAAGAGGCCAAGAAAGAGGCAGCAGAGAAGAAAGGGCTGAAGGAAGAGGCCAAGAAAGAGGCAGCAGAGAAGAAAAAGCAGAAGGAAGATGAGAAGAAGGCGAGGGAGGCAAAGGAGAAGGCGAAAAGGGAGAAAGCTGAGAAAGCTAGGAAGAACCTTAGATAGGCTTGTACTAATAGCCCAATGCTTCTACATTCGCTCTATATTGTTTGTAATGTTGTGAGTCGTTCTGAGGAGTGTATGGTTTCTTTCCTCTCATAGGCCACAATCGTGTGTATGGTTTGTGTACGTAGATTGACCGAATGCATATTTAGTAAGGTTTTCTCAAATTGTGTCCGTAGTCATGCAATGGAGGAAAACACCCAAACAGCTCACTCATTTGGGTAGAGAGGAAGGGAGGTTGAGGGTGAGGGACAGGGTGCTTGTGGCTGTGCCTCTATTCCTGCTGCTGCTGCTGCTATTGTTGCTGCTGCTCCAACTACCGCTGCTGTGTTGTTCCTGCTGCTGGTGCTGCTGTTGCAGCAGCTGCTGCCACTCCTGCTCTGGCTAGTAGAAGTGGATATTACAGTCATTAAGTCACCAGTCCTAACCACTGGGACAAGAAGGGATGTCATCAGGAGGGTTAGGCTCCATATATCCACCTTCCCCGAGGAAAGCCTCCCCAGTACCCTCCCTAGAGATAGAGAGAGGATCGACAGGGTTACCCCACTGCCACGACAATTACACCCTTTGGATCAACTGCAATGCATGGCATGCACTACCAGACTGTCATGAAGTTAGGCTAGGTGGGAATAGGTGAAGCCATGAGTATGGCGTGAGATCTAGATCTAGGAGGTAGGCGAGAATGTCGAGAGAAAAGAGAACTAAGAAAGAAGAGAGAGGGATACAAGGAGGGGTGTTGTACCCTCTACAGTAATGTTCAGTAACATCTACCAAGCCTACACTTATATAATAACTTATATAATTTAACACACCCCCTAGGCTTGGTAGTAGAAGGACCCACACACCCCCACACCCCTAACCTAGCACCCCCATTCCCATCAGCCACAATGACTCCAACAGGGCCAATCCCAAGGCCTTGGAGATGGCGACGGCGGCAGTCCCGGCAGTGGCGACAGCGACGGCGACGACGGGCGTGCGGCGGCAACAGGCCTGCGGCGACGACAGCGGTGACGACGACGGCTTTGACTTACGACGGCGGTGACGGCAATGGCCCCCGCCCTTCCGGCGGCGTGTCCAAACTCCGCACCAGGGGAACGACCGGCGAGAGTCTGACGGCGGCTGTGGCAAAGAGGAGGGGACAGAGGAAAGGGGGAAGGGGCGGGGCTTCGGATCTTCAGCGCGGCGCCATAGCTGGCGCGGCGCTTACTGGCGAGCAGGCAGGCTGCATTTCCAGCAGTGACGCAGGTCGTGCGTGACGGCAACAGGCCAACGTCGCAGCCACGGCACCACGACGACGCCACCACAGCGTGTCGTTGTCGCCGCAGCTGCTCGTCGACGTTGGGCCGACAGCATGCAGGGGCCGCCGCGGCATCTTGGAAACGATGCCATGGCGGCAGGCAGTAGGAAGGCCGCGACGGCGGCACGGTAAGGACGAGTACGCGGCGGAAGCGTGGAGAGCAGGCCCGGGAAGGGCGTCCTGCTCTGAAACCATGTCGTGAAGTTAGGCTAGGTGGGAATAGGCGAAGCCATGAATATGGTGTGAGATCTAGGAGGTAGGCGAGAATGTCGAGAGAAAAGAGAACTAGGAAAGAAGGGAGAGGGATACAAGGAGGGGTGTTGTACCCTCTACAGTAATGTTCATTAACATCTACCAAGCGTACACTTATAATAACTTATATAATTTAACACAGACGTAGCTGCCTGCATGGCAAGCTGGCACACTGTAGCACAAGCATATGCTTGAGACACTCAAGAATAGAACTGTGTATGCACAGGCAAGGACAGGGGAAGGAAGGAGCAAGGAGGGAGGGTGGGGGAAGTGGGGTTGGGGATGGGGGAGGGGGAGGAGGAAAATTAGAAATTGGTTGAAGCAGGGATGTGTGAAATGCATACTCGGGTGTTTGTGTATGTATACTTGGGTGAAAACGGGAGATCCGCAGAAGCAAAAGCAACTGCTGCAGCAGTTGCCGCAGCAGTCACAGCAGCAGCAGCAGCCGCGGGGGACCGTGGGCCCTGTGGTTGCTGGCTCTGGGGGTGCTGACCGTGGGGGTGCTGGTTCTAGGGGTGCTAGTCATGGGGGTGCTGGCTTGGAGAGTACTGGCAGTAGCAGTGGAGGAGCTGGGGGTTCTAGCATGGGCCGGGACTAGCAGCAGCAGCATCATTAGCAGACGCAGGTGCAGTAGCTGCAGTCTGCCCTTCGTCTCCTTGGTCTTTCATTCGCTTCCCTCGACCGCCCGCTCGTCTATCCCACATTGTGTGTCTCCCACCTGCCCTCGTCTACGGCCAGCAGTTCCCTTCCCCAGACTCGTCTCCAGCTCATTTCCCCCCTCGTTCTCCTCTGTCCCGGTCCCATCCCTTGTTGACCACCCGTGGGTGCGTCGTCCCCCTGGTGGTCGTCACGTTTCTCCCCGTACTCGTGTTCACCACATGGTCCTTTGTTCTCATGCTCGTCCAGTTCCCGTCCTACCACTCCCTCCTTAGTCGTCACTGCCCCTGTCCTTTGCTCCTCCCTTTGACTTTGCTCGCACTGCTCGTTCATTCATCTCCCAGTTGCTTGTCACTGGCCCTACCGCTCCTCCTGCTGGTGTCTTTGCCCTTGCCGATATTGTCGCTAACTCTGCCGTAAGCCACCACCTTGACTATGCCTCCACTCTGATCTCTAACCCTGCCTGTCCTCTGTCGGTCGGGGTTGTGCCTGCCCTTGGCAGTGACGTTATAGAGGATACGCAATACAAGCTAGCTTTCCTTGCAGCTGCCGTACCTCACCTCTGCGCCATGCTTGTGTCCCCTGAGGATAACCCAGTTGCCATGGACATCCCTACCCCGAGCTTGTACTCTAAGGCAGTCTCGGGGCCTTGGGCAGCCCAGTGGATACAGGCCATAGAGGCAGAGATGGCATCTTATAGATCCACCGGCAATTACGTCGACGCAGATCCTCCACCTGGTGCGAACATAGTCGATGGCATGTGGATCTATAAGATAAAGCGTCCGCCTAGAGAGCCCCCGCAGCTCAAGACGCGGTATGTGGCCAGAGAATTCAGTCAGTGAGAGGGTGTGGACTTCTTCCAGACGTTCTTCCCCACCCCCAAGATGACTACTCTTCGGGTGCTCCTCCACTGGAGGCTGCGTTGCCCTGTCTATGGTCTGCGCTAGGCACCCCGTAAGTGGCACGATATATTTCGCACTACACTCGCGGCTCTCCACTTCTTCCCGTCCTCTGCTGATCCCACGCTTTTTGTTCATACTAGTCAGACACCGTTCTACATACTTGTGTACGTTGACAACCTTATCTTTGGTACTCTAGACAGAGTCGCACTGGCCTCACTGAAGGCTACGCTGCTTAGGTGTCATGCGTGTACAGACTGGGTAGAGCTGCAGCGTTATCTGGGCTTGGAGATCTCGTGACCGTGTAGCGCGCACGGTCACACTCTCCCAGTCCCACATGGTGCAGCAGATCCTCCTGAGATTCGGTTTTCAGCTCTCGCCTGCACAGCCTGCTCCTCTGCCTATGGACCAGAAGCCATCCGCTCCTTGTTCTTGTGAGCAGGTCAAGCCAAGTGGTCCATATGCAGAGCTGGTGGGGTGCCTCATGTACCCGATGACTTGCAGTCGCCTAGATGTAGCATACCCTCTCAGTATCCTTGCTCGCTTCCTTGCTGTGAGAGGATGAGGCTTGCCGAATCCTTGATCGCAACCATTGCCATATATTGTGTGTTATTTTGTGTGTTTTTCCTTTCCTGGAAATCCCTACACTCTATCCTACACATTGATATATTTTGCATATACTGTATCATATGTGTTGCGGAGTATTTCAGACTTTCCTTGCATGACATGTTTTCTATTGCGTGGAGTGTTCCGTCACCGTCACCGTATCTCTAGAATCCTTTCTGTGCTTCTAGGTGTTCCTACGAACGGTTCCACTCATTTCTAGAACTCCCTCAGAAGGTCCTAGTTACCCTTCCCTAGAATTCTCGTAGGTATACATAGCATTGACTCTTTGCTTGAAGACATTGAATTCTTGATTCAATTCCTGATTCGTATCATCCAAGCTCTGCAAAATCCTGAACCTGTGACACTTGGTAATTAGAGCACAAGGTTTCCAATCAACGCTTACTCCCTGGGCCTCTAGGAGCACGCCGAGGATGGAGTCGAAATTTTCAATCGCGTAAGTAAATTCATTGTTTCTTACTAAGTTCCGACTAACCTCGAGCAGCTGCACCTAGGGTCCCCATCGATGGAGAGCAGCATTGCCAACCATTTGATTTCCAGGATCGACGGAGTCGATTTTTCGGAGGGGCATATGTCAGTGACCCTCGCCAATGAGAGGACATCGCCGAAGTACATGCATTAAAATATGGAATATTTTCTGCCCTCCGAAACAATCGACGGTAGTTGGTCGAACTTTCCCTGTGGCGTTTTTCAAGAATTTCCAAATTCGCCACGAATCTTGGAGTTGAGCCAGCGACAATCTACGAGAGCCGTCCAATTCAACTTCGACACTTCAGATCGTCCAGTGCGAAACGAACCTGAGATGATGGAGTTCGAGTTTTAGGGCGTATGGAAACGATACCTCGAGAGCAGCGGATTGTTCACGCGCATCCGATTATTCGACAACGGACAGCGACGTCTACGAATTGTCGTAGAAAACGAGTTGACCCCGACATTTGACGCAGCTGAACGATCCTCAAGAAGATTTTCAGATCGCTTGGAGTTTAGACCGTCGAATCAATATTGAACCAGCGGACCAAATGGAGCGTGAGTTCTTCCAGTACAAGAATTGGACGAGGAGAAGCAAATATATGCCGATATCAACTTTGACGGCTGGACTTCCGAAATTTCCAGCTCTCAAAATTCGGATCTCATCAAGTCATGATTTTCGGCCCTGAAACTTCTCAAGAGTCACAATCATCAATGACAAAACACCTACTTGGCAACCTTGACTGGCAAAACCTCTGTCGCTGCACGCGGATCGTCAGATCGTCACCGAATCGACTGCATGAATGGACCGAGAGACTACTCGATGGGAGAACGTCGTACGGAGTCAAAATTCCTGCCTGGCGACACAACGATTGCATATTAC